GCCTGGCTTAAGTGAGACTCACCCCTGTATGCAGGGCCTCCTTGTGCAGGCCAAGGCAGCATGAGCTAGTGGGATGCACCACGGAGCCCAGGCCTTGGGAGAAATGTGGCCCCTTGCTGGCCCTGGGGGCCCAGGCTGAGCAAGGCTAGGACCTGAGGCCCAGCCGGTCAGCCAGCCCTGTGCTGGTGCGGGGTGTGGCTGTGACTGGTGGGCTGTGTGGAGGAAGGAGGTGTCAGAGAGGCTCCTCCCAGGGGCCTCTGACATTGGTGGGGTCAGGGGAGCTGGGAGTACCCTGAGGGGACTTAGGGCTGGACATTGGTGGGGGAGTTGGCCGGGACAACCTGTGCCTGCTGGAGTGGAGGTGGCACAGGTCCCTGAGGCTTCACAGCAAACCTGAGATGGCCCTGGAGGTCCAGGTGGGAGGCAGGAAGTAAGGTGGAGGAAAGGTCAAGCCACCTAGCCTGGCTCCCAGGTCTGGCTCTGCCACTTCTTGGCTGTGTGACCTTGGGCAAGTCACACAACCTCTCTGAGCCTGGGCTTCCTGAGGCAGTCCCCCTGCCAGGCTGCAAAAACGCCTCCCTGCAGGATGTTCCCTGGGGAAACCAGCGCACCTCAGCAGTGAGGCCGCCCCACCCTCTGCAGAGACACCCACCCCAGGCTTGCTTCCTTCCAGCTGTGCCTGGCCTGCGCAGGCCCCGGGGGTGAGGTGCACTCCTGCAGGGCCTTCAGGAACCTGGGGCCAGAGGAGCTGGCTCGAGGCCAGAAAGCTGGCCGGGCCTCTGGGGTCAACTGGGCCTCACCCATCCTGCCCGCCCTGGCAGACCCATGGAGAAAGCCTCCCTGCCGCTGGCTGAGTGAGATTGAATGCCAGTTCTGCAGCTGGCCACGGGGTGGGGACCTTTGAGCCCTTCTCACCCACGAGGCAGTGGAGACTCAGCCAGGTGAGGTGTGACACTCAGAATCCCATAGCTGGAGCCCACAGTGATGAACAGACCCCCCGCTGGGGACAGCCCCTTATGTGACCCTCACCCAGTCTTCCAGATACCCAGGCAACCAAGCTGCAGGCAGAAAACAGGACTGGAGCCTAGGGAGAGGTGATCCCCGCCAGCCCCCTAGACCCCTGACCCCAAGTCCTGGGCCCTGTGGGCCACAAACGAGTGACCCAGCCCAGCCCACGTGCTCAGGACACCCCTGGCCCCTCCCTGTTGCTATGGTCTGCCAAACCAGGCTGCTCCCCGGGACCTCTGGTGATGCAGTGTCCCAGTCCCAGTGCCACACTCCCAGAGAAGGTAACCATTCACAGCAACTTCAGAAGCCGCCCAGGTGCTCCCTCCAACACCTCAGCCACACCACCCCTCCACCGCCCCTCACAGTCATCCCCAAGGGTACCTCTGCTTCCCACACCCACCTCCCAACACCCTGCCAGCCTTCCTGCTTGCCTGCCAGCTCCAAGTCTTCCTCGAATCGCCCTCCCCAGAGGCTCCCACAGCCTGGAGCCCATGGTGTCATCCTCACACCTGCCCTTCTCTCCTTCCCCAGCATGCGGGGCATGACTGCCCACCGTCTGCTCCCTCTCCATTTCTCCCTCCTCCAGCAAAGACCTGACCCCAGCTAAACCCAAGAGACCGTTCACTCACCAGTCTTCCTCCCTTTAAATACGCAATTGCAGATGGCAGGGGGCACTGCCCAGCTATCCTGCCACACCACCCCCCTGACATCTTCTCTCTGCTGCCAGCACCTTGGTGCCCCTCCTCTAGCCTCCCCCAGCAGGAAGCAGGAATGTGGCCACGGGGAGGCCTGCCCCCAGCGCCAGCACTGAACTCTCCTGCCCTTCGGTGTCAGCCTTCGGTCATTCACATATTTACTTATGTGTCAGTTCACACCCCAGCCTACCCCTGCCAGGGGCCTTATGTCTCTGGCTTTCCATGTCTGGAACAAGGTCTGATATCACCAGGTCTTGGATAAAGCTAGAAATGATTTTCCTTTTTCGTTCCTTTGATCTCATTTGTCTTGATTGTTCCACCGTAATTCAGAAGATGGTGATTTGGTTCCTGTAAGTGCAGGGCTGCTATCTGAAATGACACATTGAGTGTCTTAAATGTCTTAAGAGACACGGTCTGAAATGACAATTCTAAGTTTCTGTGGACTGGCTGATGGATTTCTCAGCACCAAGAAACCCTGATCTCCACACCATGCAAGTGGTTCATTTCTGGCAAACACCAGGATTCTTTTCCTCTTCGCAAACTCGAGATAGCAGCAGGCGGCCGAGGGCCTCTTCTTGGCGGACTTGCTGGATATACTCTGTGTGTGTGTGTGTGTGTGTGTCTGTGTATGTGTGTGTGTGAGATAGAGAGAGACAGAGACAGAGAGAGAGAGAGAGACTCACTCTGGGCCCAGATTCAACTAAAACATGGCATTCTGGGGGATTTCCTGAGTCCCTCCTCCAGATCACCCCAACTACTGGGGCTCCAAACTCCAGTGCATACCTCACAGATTTGGTGACTTTTGTGAAATGCGTGAATGGCAATGGTTTACACTTTTCATAGTTGACCAGATGTCTCCACTTCCATTTTCTCTTTTGCTAATCACAGTGATTCTAATATAGCACTTGAGTTTTTTGTTTGTTTGTTTTTTGAGACAGGATCTCACTATGTCACCCAGGTTTGAAGTGCAGTGGTGTGATCACAGCTGACTGCAGCCTCGATCCCCTGGGCTCAAGAGATCCTCCCACCTCAGCCTCCTCAGTGGCTGGGACTCCAGGTACATGCCAGCACACCCGGCTAATTTCTGTAATTTTTGTAGAGCTGGGGTCTCGCCATATTACCCAGGCTGATCTCAAACTCCTGAGCTCAAGTGATCTGCCCGCCTTGGCCTCCCAAAGTGCCGGGATTACAGGTGTGAGCCACCATGCCCATCCAAATTGACCATTTTAACTATTTTATTTTATTTTATTTTATTTATTTTTTTGAGATGGAGTCTTACTCTGTCACCCAAGCTGGAGTGCAGTGGTGTGATCTCAGCTCACTGCAACCTCTACCTCCTGGGTTCAAGCAATTTTCCCGCCTCAGCCTCCCGAGTAGCTGGGATTACAGGCATGCACCACCATGCCCGGCTAATTTTTGTATTTTTAGTAGAGATGGGGTTTTGCCATATTGGCCAGGCCGGTCTTGAACTCCTGACCTAAGGTGATCCACCCACCTCAGCCTCCCAATGCACTGGGATTACAGGCATGAGCCACCACCCCCGGCCCATTTTAACCATTTTAAAGTGTGCCATTCAGTACCGTTCACTGCATTCACAACATTGTGCCACCAGCCCTACTCTCCAGCTCCGGAACATTCCAGCTCCAGAACATTCCAGCTCCGGAACGTTTTCTTCACCACAAGAGGAAACCCCATACCCATTAAACAGTCCCTCCCCATTCCTCTCTCCCCCAGTCCCTGGCCACTGTGAATCCATGCTCTGTCTCTATGGACTTGCCTGTTCTGGACATTTCAAAGAAGTGGAATCGTACATTATGTGGTCTTTGGTGTCTGGCTTCCTTCACGGAGCCAGCAAGCATGTTTGGGGCTTGTCCCTGCTGTGGCATGTGTTGGAACTTCACAGCCTTTTAAGGCTGAAGGGTATTCCGTCACATGGACATGCCGCATTCTGTGCATCTATTCGTCCATTGATGGACACCTGGCTTGTTTCCACAGTGCAGTGATTTTGAGTAATGCTGCTAGGAACGTGGATGACCATCATCTGTCTGAGTCCCTGTTTTCCATTCCTCCGGGTGTCCGTCCAAGAGTGGATGGCTGGGGCATATGATAACTGTGTGGAACATGTCGCAGAACTGTGGAAGACTGCTCCCACATAGCTGCACTGAAGCCATACTTTTCAGAGGGCAGCAGACAGGGATTCCGGGCAGAGCCTGGCCTCTTCCTGCCACTAGCCTTCAGCCTCCTTCCAGTTCCTCTCTCAGCCCCGCCCAGGCGAGGCAAGGGAAGCATCCCTGTGGATGGAAAGCCCCAGGCTCCCTGGAAAGGCTCCTGGGAGGGGACGCGTGAGCCAGCTCTGAGGGATGTGGGGTTTCTCAGTCTGCTGAGGAAGACAGGCAAGAGAGCAGGGGTTGCAGGTCCTGCAAGGCAGAGCTAGAAGGCAGGTGGCTGCTTGGCGAGGAACTCCACAGAGCTTGCGGTGGCTGAGGTCATACTAACACACGCGGCCAGCACCCACAGGTACAGTCCACAGCCAGTGCTGACCTATGTCCACGCCTTCCTCCCCACAGCTCAGGGTGTGGGCTCTAGGGGACCTCATTACGCAAATGAGCAGACTAGGGCTCCAGGGGCTAACTCACTCCTATGGCATCCCAGAAGCACTGGCATCCATGCCCTGACCACCAAGCTGTGTGCCTCTCCATGGTGACTCCAGACAAGAAGCTGGGCTCAGAGAGGCCTAACAACTCTCCCACGCTCACACACCAGGGCCTTCTGGTGGAGGGAGGGTTTGCGCCCGGGCCTGGGCCTTGCCTGGCGTCGTTGCTCACTGTCCACACCCCAGCCTCCTGGGCTATGAAGTCTGGGGAGTTAAACCCTCCACCTCCTGCTCTCAGATGGCAGCTGTGACCGCTCACTGAAGTAACGAATATGACCGCCAAAGGAAATCTATAAAAGCTCAGACATCCGCGGGCAGGTAGGGGTCCTGCTCTGGGCCACGTTAATGAACTCGGTCTGCAGCAGCAGATGCCTTTGTAGGGGTCAAGAGCGGAAAGTTCTGGCTCCAGCTCCACCACTGGGCGCTGTGTGTTCCCTGTGTGTCCCTGACAGGGTCACCGTCCCTGAGCTCAGTTCTTTCACTGCAGAGAGGGTGCCAGGAACCGCCAGGAGGCCACGCACGCTGAGGGCCACCCCGTCCTCAATGCAGTCCTGCCCCTGCATTGCTTGGCGGCAGCACACGGCCCAACGGTGTCCCTTGCTGCGTGCTAACTGGTCCCTTCTGTTTTGCCTTTTTGTTTGAAGAGACACTTGTCGCCCGAGGAGTTCCAGGAAGTGTTTGGGATGAGCATCGAGGAGTTTGACCGCCTGGCCCTCTGGAAGAGGAATGACCTTAAGAAGAAAGCCCTTTTGTTCTGACAGCTGCCAGCCTGCCCCGCCGGTGTGTGCCGGGCGCCGAGGCGAGGGGTCCCTGGCGAGCACCACGCACACCCCTCCCACATACCTTGCTCTGGCTTCTCTGTGTCGATGGGGTGGGCGGGAGGGGGTCCCCCAGCAGGTGCAGCCCCTGTGCCTGCCGGCGACGCTCCTGCCCGTAGTTTAGGGCCGAGATGGCTAGCTTCACACCACCCTTCCCCGCTGTGGCTTGGTGTCAGGGAGAGGCTGCAGAGTGGCTGTGTCGGGCATTAGATGGAGCACACAGGTGGCTGCAGCCCAGTCCACCTTCCCAGCATCCTCGAGGTGCCCTGGCCCTGGTGCTAGGCACGTGGGGGACGGAGGTGGCTGGGACGTGAGCTGTGAGACTTGTTGATGACAGGTGCTGACACCATTGTTGGGGGTGGGCACACGGCCCTTCGGAGCCTGGGCAGCCTGGCCTCACGGGCAGACTCGCAGACAGGGCAGGGAGCGTCCGGGACAGTGCCAAGAGTGGGGTGTGTGATTTTTGCAGGCGTCTGTGATGGGTCTCTTTAGGGACAAATGCCAACAAGGGACAAGACAGGGCACCTTCCGCCAGCGCCCCTCCATGTGCTGCGTTCCTCTTCCAGATCACCCCCTAGATGCCTACACAATATCTTTAAAGTAACACAGAAGTTTTTATTTTATTAAAAAGTATAGCCTACTTACACGCGAGATGACATATATAGAGTTTAATTTTACAGTCCCTCCGCAGGGGAGCGGCCTCCAGCCTTATCCTCCACCGCTCGGATCTGTGTGGTTTCAGTCAGTTCTTGGTGTGGTCTCATACATAGAGCTCCCTGTCTGGTTTCTTTTTTTCTTTCTTTTTTCTTTTTCTTGTCACACAGGTAACCTTAAAGACAGACCCCTCTAAATAACGCTTTGTAAATACACGTGAAGTAGAGCCACCACTGTTCTCCTTGCGGTTATTTTTCCAAATCTTGGAGAGAAAACATCCTCCTCTGACGGCCAAAGCCTCAGAATCAAGGGTTTCCACGTACCCGGCCTGATACCCGACGCAGCTCTTGGTGCACCATCCTTGTGCTGCGGCTGGCGGTGTCTGAGCCTGAAACAGAAACCCCACCCGCCCCAGGAGTGATGTGCTCCCTGAAACAGACAACCACACGCTGTTGGGGAGAGAAGGATGGAGATGGGATGGAGATATGGCTCTTCTCGTCTTCGAAGCCAGCAGGGCATCCTGGAGCAGGAGGCTGGCCGGGCTCCCCAAGCGAAGGCGTTGGTGTCTGTCATTAGGTGTGCGTTAGGGTGCAGCGCCGACCGTCACAGGATGCGGATAAGCGCGCTGAGAGGTGGATGAAACACCAAAGTCTGTTTCCCTGTCCGCAGTGGGTGTTGCCTCTTTGTGTGTGTCCCGATGTTCCTGCCTGTGAGTTGGCCTTACTCCGCTTCCTTAGCGCCCATGACACGCCAAGTCCCGTTTCGCACTCGGCTTCTTACCCGCCCGGCTCGGCTAGGGACGGGGAGTTTTTAGCACCTAATATGCTTCCTGCCATTGAGCAATCTGAGCCTGAGCAACTGGAAACCCCCCATTTCTCATTAGTGCAATGTCATGTCTGATCCCAGGAAGCCTGGAAAATAAAAGACGATGCATTATAACTTGCGGCAGTACAAGACCACTTGTTATGAACTTGTGTGATTTGAAAGGCAAGGCCCCTTCTGCAAGTAGTGCTTGGGGAGGGCACCCATTCCAGGCATAGCGCTGGGTGTGTTCACGGGGCAAGCGAGGCCTTGGGGAGGGGCCAAGTGTTCCCATTGGATATTCCCCAGAGGCAGCTTGCACAGATGCATTCCTGGGCCCTCACCAGGGCCAGGCCCTCTGCTGATGGCAGTGATGAGGGAAACTTGATACACACCTGCCCCGGAGGTTGGGGAGACAAGGACAGCAAGGCTGATCGCTGCTCTGTGGAGCTGGCCCCAGGGAGGTCCCAAATACACCACCAGGTCAGGGGAAGCTTTCTAGACAAGGTGCTGCCCAAACTAAGTCTTGGCAAATGGGAGATAAGGGAATAAACACTCCCCAATAAGGGAAAGGCATTCTGGGCAGCTGGAACAGCAGTAGCGGAGGCGCTGAGGCTGGACACAGCCTCCCAAGTTCTGGAAATTTCGGTGGCTGGTTATGGCTGAACACAGGGCCAAGGAAAAGGGTGGAAGGAAAGAGACTGGAGGCAGGGCTCCCACATGGGATTAAACAGTGCCCTGCTGGGATTAAACATATCATCCTCTCTAATCTTATTCCCATAACTTTCATGATTCTTTCTAACTTTCAGTCTTCCCCAAAAAAGCTTGTCCATACACACAACCTGCCACCACCGTCTACCCAGTTACACACTCAGAAATCAGCATTGTCCTCAGTTTCTTACCCCGGGCCCAAGGACAACTGTCCACAAGCCCTAGTAAGTGCCACCTCCCAAGCATCGGCCTACAGCTCTCCACCTGCACAGACGTCCCCGGTGGGGCATGCTGAGAACAGGAGGTGGCACTCTGACCCATGACCCTAGACACAGGAATAAGCCTGGTCTGGCCCTGGCAGCCAGGACATGCAGGCACCCTGGCCACCCTCAGGCCCCTCCCCTGCTACAGCACAGCCTTCCTCTGCCGTCCGCTCCCACACTTGCCCCTGAGCAAACTGTGTCCACCCAACGCCAGAGTGATGCTTTGAAAACATCAGTCAGATCACGCCAAGCTCCCAGCGGCCTTCTTCTGTGGCTTCAAGAGCCAGGCCTTATGTGACCCCCACTTGCCATTCCCGTCCACCCCCCTGCCCCTGAGTTTGTCCCCATGGTCACAGTCCCAAACTGTGGCTCTCTCTGAGTTCTTCAGACACCAAGCCCGCCGGTTTTCACCCACGATCTCCCTCCTGGGGGAGCTCTGCTGCTTCTCAACACAGGGTCCCTCCCTTCCTTCTCAATTCAACTCAGAAGCTCCCCTCTCAGACAGGGCCCTCCGCTGACTTTCCAAATTGCCACCTATCCCGACGTTCCTCATGGTACCTCCTCATGCCCTCTGTGTGTCAGCAGTTTCTTCTATTTTATCTTATTTTATTTATGTATGTATTTATTTGAGACCGAGTCTCACTCTGTCACCCAGGCTTGAGTGCAATGGCGCGATCTCAGCTCACTGCAACCTCCACCTCCTGGGTTCAAACGATTCTCCTGCCTCAGCCTCCCGAGTAGCTGGGATTACAGGCATGCCTCACCACACCTGGCTAATTTTTTGTATTTTTTAGTAGAGACGGGGTTTCACCATGTTAGCCAGGGTGGTCTTGATCTCCTGACCTCGTGATCCGCCCTCCTCGGCCTCCCAAAGTGCTGGGATTACAGATGTGAGCTACCGCGCCCGGCCCACAGTTTCTTCTTTCTCGCTTTATTGACCATTTCCGTCCATCAAACCCTAAGCCTGAGAGGGCTGACGACTTTGTAACCGTGCTCTATGAACTGGGAATGTCTTTGGAGTATTTCCTAGCAAGGCTGGAGCCCATCTGATTTCTGTACTTTCCCCAAAGAGTCTCATGGCGCTCATGCTTCTAGAACAGCGCTGTCCAATCCCACTGCCCGTGATGACAATGACATTCTACATCCGCACTGTCCAACACGCCAGCCACCAGCACTTGAAATGCAGCCAATGTGAGTGGAACTGAGATTTCAGTGTAACTCTTTTAGAGTTCAGGAGCCACATGTGGCTACTGGCTGCGTGCTAGACAGTGCAGTGCCCTGAGGATTAGAAACTGCTGCTGCCCTAAGCTTAGACGTGCATGTCCACAGGCCCTGGGATCTGTCACTCCTGTCTCGCAACGAGTGTTCATTGGTGCCTGGTCTATAGGATCCATTGAGAATGCACTTGCTGAGCATGCATCTGTGCCTGGCACTGCCCTGGGTGCAGGGGTTTGCTTGGCACAGTTCTTGCCCTCCAGACTCATGACGTCTGCCATCTGAACCTCAGAGCCCCAGGTTCTAAGCCAGTTTGGCTCAGTCTTCCATGCCAGTCTTTGTGTCTGCCAGTGGCACCAACCTTCCCAATTCAGCACCACCCTGGGCCTGTGTGAGGAACTCCCAGGAGAGATGGGCAGGGAGACATCAGACATCGGCGCCTGCAGGGCCTCCGTCCTCAGCCCTTCTCCCCAGGGCAGCTGTGTGCATTCCAAGCTACTTAAATCGGAACCAAAAGCTTCAGAATTCACTGCAGCCATGCGAGAGAACGTGACAATCTCACACAGGTCTTAGTGTTCGGCTGAAAAGTGACACTTGTCACCTCTAGTGGTTGGAACTAGTCACATGTCCCTGCCCAGCTGCAAAAGGGTCTAGGGAGCACAGGCTGTCTGTCTGAGAAGAGGGAGGATGAGAACCGGGAGCAAGCCTTACCAACTACAGCCCAGGCTACACGGGTGTCGTCTCTTCCCCAAGTCCAAGCCCCAGTGCCTTCGGTGGCTCTTGGTGGGAACTCACTTGGAGCCCTCCCCTGCCCTGGCCACCATCCTCTCTGGGTGAGCCATTCACTCGTTCATCCACACAGATCTGCATGCTGGCTCCAGCCTGGCCCCCATA